TGGTAGTAGCATCCTGGAGATCCGGTGCAAATTGACACTGTCCTTGTTGACACTCCATGGTGGGTGGGGAGCAGGGGTGTTGAGCATGGTTTATTAAAGGAATTAATGGTGTAACAGTAGATCCGTATAGATATCTAGGTATTCTCTTTGCGTCCTATGTAAATGTAATAAATGAAAACAAGGTGTGTCCTCAAGGTAAAATGTCTTTATTGGAAGTTATTCATCACCTGTATAAACTAGATTTTGTCACTATTCCGTTTTCTTTAAGATATTTGATACGCAAATCCAACCAATTGTTTTACATGGTGCTGAAGTTTGGGGTAATAATAATTTCTATAAAATTGAAAATGTCCATCTCACTGGATGTAAACGTTTCTAAACGTCGGTCCACAGACACCAAATGCCATTGTATACGGTGAATGTGGTTCATATCCACTGTACATAAATGCACAATGTCGATTTGTTAAATACTGGTTAAAACTTGTGTCTGTATGTCACTATAGAATACCAAAGAAAGCTTATAACATGTTACTTAATTATGATAACAGTGGGTATACGATTTATATTTCTAATGTTCGTTATCTTCCATTTTCACATTGTTTTGAGTATGTTTGGTTGTCTCAAGGCGTTGGTGATACTTCAGTTTTCCTTCAAATGTTTAAGAATGTTGTAGTTAACAGTCATGGAATGGTATTATACAAGAAAGTTCTCGATATAGTGTATATAGACAATATAAAAGCCTATTAGAACCAGAAAGGTATCTCACTCTATTAACAAACAAAAAACAACGAAATATAATGATAAGACTTAGATGAGGAATTTTAAATTAAAATGTTAACGAGGGCAGGTTGTTGGGAATTGAATTAGGTCAGCGATTATGTGAATTGTGTAACACTGGAATTGAAGATGAGTATCATTTTATCCTTGAATGTAAAAACTACAGGAATTTAAGACGGCGAATTTATCACCACAGTGTTAATATTCACAGATTTAGACACCTAATGAATTCAAAGTGTAGTGATGTATTAAATAATTTACGTAGATATGTTTGTCAAAGCTTAATCTTAAGAGAACAATATGTTTGAAATCTGTAGCAGCATATATAACATACATGTACATTGTATGTGAGGTGAGGTGAAATTGGGCTTTACGTCGTGCTTGAGAATATTTCGCTCATATGACGACGTACATGCGTGTGTATGTGTATGTGCGGCTGCTTGTACTAGCCCAGACTGAAGCTGGTTTTATAGTGCTAGCCCACTGAGATACCATGCCGCAGTGAAGCATGAATACCCCACTCAGACACATTATACTGACTCCGAGCCGACCAGTCCTTGTTGTACCCATTAATGCCGAGCGCCAGACAGGGACCAACAAGTACCATATTTTAACGTCTTTTGGTATGACGCGGTCGGGGATCGAAACCGCGACCTTCCGCTCTTCGGGCGGACGCTCTTACCACTACACCACGGAGGCGGTCTACATTGTATGTAATTCACGTTCGATGTAAATGTATTATACTATGTGTATATGGGCCAATGACTATGTGTATATGGGCCAATGGCCTTCATACAAATAAACAACTTGACACTTACCAGCTAGTTCAACTAGTCTCTGCTTGCATTATGAAACAATTAAATGCAGTTGGTGGTCAGGCTCTCTGGCTTCGGTGACTGTGTTTCTGCACCGACGACGCCGGGCCTTGCTCCTGCTGTACTAACAATCATTGGGTTCCTTGCCATACCACTCCTTCTTTCTCTACCAATGTAAATTGTACTTTTATTTATACAGTTTAACCAGTGAATGTTATCTGCTACTGAGACACAACTCCCCATGCTTCATATACAACACCGACATGCAGCTGTGGGTTAAAACCAGCAGAACAACCAAATCCAGTTTAAACGGATTTCCAGCAATCACGTTGTAGAATGTTTGGCAAAGGATAGTGATGATATCGATGTGTGTCTTCACGGGAATGATCTTGATATTAAAGCTGTAACTAAGGCAACTGCGAACGTGACACCGACCAAAGCACCCAGAGAACAATGCCAATGCAGAATTGAGCACTCACTTTTAAGTGATGTGGCAATATTTGTGACGGAATTAGAAGTAAGAGGACTACCGACTCTGGACATGTCCCAACGTAAATTCGTGAACACAATCGATATTAAGTTGATGGTGGATTCCAAATCGTGTCAAATGATAACTGACAGCTGACAGGGACAAAATGCGGGTGGATATATATAGTCTTAGCACGGGCAGATTTCTCATCAAGATATTCAACACTTCCATTTAAGAGTTTTGTCATTATGACATGAATACGAAACACCTCTACTATGTCATAAAGAAAAGAACATGGCAGCTGACATAATTTCAAACATTCAGTTATCGCAGAAAACTTTGATTTTATGGGTGAATACAAACAAATGGCAGGTGAAGAGTGAGTGAGTTTAGTTTTACGCCGCACTCAGCAATATTCAAGCTATATGGCGGCGGTCTGTAAATAATCGAGTCTGGACCAAACAACCCAGTGATTAACAGCATTAGCATCGATCTGCTCAAATGGGAACCGATGACATGTGTCAGCCAAGCCAACGAGCCTGACCACCTGATCCTGTTAGTCGCCTCTTACGACAAGCATGGGTTACTGAAGATCAATTCTAACCCGGACCTTCACCTAGCAGGTGAAGAAGAATCTCGCATGATAGTAAAGTGCAGTTCTGAAGACGAAACTGAGAACACCGATGAGTTTAAATATGTCATGTACCACATGTCTGAGAAATTCAAACCATGCCACTTCACCACGATTTCCAATGTGATGTTGTATTCTTTCACTATTGTAAATGGGTCCATGTTTCTTAGCGGTGAAGACACTGTATTATCTATTCCTGATTTAGTGAGTGAGTGAGTATGGTTTTACGCCGCTTTTTAGCAATATTCCAGCAATATCGCGGCGGGGGGACACCAGAAATGGGCTGCACGCATTTTACCCATGTGGGGAATCGAACCCGGGTCTTCGGCGTGACGAGCATTCCTGATTTAGCTACAGGGGTGACGGGAGTACTCAAAAGGTGTGAAAGAGATGAGTATTCTGTGATGGGATCTTATGGGCATTTTCTGTACATGACGTGTTCTGTACATGGTTCGTTAGTTTTAACTGCAGTTTAAGTTATTTTAATTTATGGCTAGATTGTACAAAATTGTTAACATCTGAAGGGATGGTGTAAATTCAACTAGGGTCCATGCAGGTAGCAAAGGCACTGTAAGTCCCCATTGTCCCTAGCATGTGATCTACCCCTAGTTGTTGCCAATATTAGCCTGCTTTTATATTGTGTTGTCCTCTACAGTTAAAATGTTTTAGATTTGATTACTGGTTTTACGTTTTTATCTGTGATAATCTAGTTGTTTCACTGTCCTTTGTCGACAGGTTTTTGTAATTTAATTCCAATTGGTATCAATTTATAACTTTTTAAGTCACAATATGGCTGAAATATTGCCGATGTGACTATAAATCGTAACTCACTCACTCACTGTACATGGTTCTATCTATCCTCATTTCTATGTTGTGGGTGCTACTGGAAGAACTGTAGCCTCAGCACCTATTGATTTGCCATGGGGTTAGGTATCAGTTGGATAAGACATTCTCAATGGCATTGTGTATTGTGTATTATAGAGCTTTAAAAATGATTTATATCTTAAATTAAATCTTACACTGTACTCTAGGCCTCCTGGCCCCGAAATACAATAAACTTCTGTATTCTGTAATTCGACATTAGGTAACAATTCCTTTGAGTGTATTCACAAAATAGACCTTCGGGAAACAGAGAGACTTTTTACAAGGTAAAATTAAGACTTTAACGCCAGGGAATAATCATTTTTTTGTGATTTAATTGAGTGAGTGAGTTTGATTTAAGTCACGGCATTATTTCAGTCAAATTGTTACTTGACCAGTTAATACAGCAATACAATAGTTTCAAACTATACATTCCAAACTAAAACCTGTCTACAATGGACAGTAAATTACCACTGCAGTTGTGGAAGTGACATTATATAATCCTGAAGCATAAAAATGAGAATGTCCTATTTACAACGACCTGATGAAATCAGACCAAATTCATTTTTTCCATTATCTTTCTGCCAGATGCCGGCACGTGCTCATTCTGACAGATGACGGTACCTGGTCATTCTGCCAGATGACGGCACATGCTCATTCTGCCAGATGACGGTACCTGCTCATTCTGCCAGATGACGGTACCTGCTCATTCTGACAGATGACGGCACGTGCTCATTCTGCCAGATGATGGCACGTGCTCATTCTGACAGATGACGGTACCTGGTCATTCTGCCAGATGACGATACGATGACGGTACCTGCTCATTCTGCCAGATGACGGCACGTGCTCATTCTGCCAGATGACGGCACATGCTCATTCTGACAGATGACGGTACCTGGTCATTCTGCCAGATGACGGTACCTGGTCATTCTGCCAGATGACGGTAGTGCTCATTCTGACAGATGACGGTACCTGGTCATTCTGACAGATGACGGTACCTGGTCATTCTGTCAGATGACGGTACCTGGTCATTCTGCCAGATGACTGCAATTAACTTTAACATTGATATAATTCTTCTACGAAGCACTTTAAAATCGCGAAGTGGAATGATATTGTGAACTCATTAAAAGACCCTGTGGTAACATTGTCTAAATATGCAGCCATACATGTACAACTTTCGATTCATTCTAACTTGTATGACCCGTGAAGATCCAGGTTAGAATTGATCTTCATTAACTCGTGTCATATGATTCGAGTAATAGGATCGGTGGTCAGGCTCTTTAATTTGGTTCACACATGTCATCGTATCCCAATCGGGTTGATCACTGCTCATGCTGTTGATCACTAAATTGTCTACTTACTAGACTCGATTATTCACTGACCGCCAATATACCTGGAACATTGCTGAGTGAAGAATTAAACACCAAACAAACAAACACCCAGTTAAAAAATACAGACAAAGTTTTTTCAGCACTTGTTTAATGGTACTGGTGAAAGAATATGGCAAAACATACATATCACAGTTAGGTCTAGCTTCTCCTTCGATGAAAGGTTCATCGGATTCAAAGTACAAGCGGATACACATACATTACAGGTCTGGGTCCCGATCGGTAGCGCTACGACTTCGTAAGTCTATGATATAGTAGTTACGACAGGTCGACACATAATGAATGCTTTGTGGATCGAGACCCTGTTTTGTCCACAATACGGAACATATTTGCCAAAATGTTCAATTCAAATCATTCGAGAGGTAACAAAAGATATTGATGCCACAATATTACGAGATATAATGAGTTTTTACACATAAGAGTCTATGGGGATATATACGGGGGTTGGGGGGTGGGGGGGTGGACACTTGGAAGGCACTAAAACTTACAAGGGTTATTTCTTACTTGTCTTCAGTGAGTGACTGAGTTTAGCTTTACACCACTTTTAGCAATATTCCAGTAATATCACCAGAAATTTGAATGGAACCCGGATCTTTGGCATGACGGGCGTAGCTTTAACCCCCAGGCTACCTCACCACCCCTACTTGTCTTGAGATAATGGGAAGAATAGGGATATGAAGTCGAGATGGGATTCCTGTAATCATGTTTTGTATGATTCAATGAAAGATTGACTAATACTACACCTACATTTTCCATGAACGGTATGTTTGTTCAAAAACGAGAGTAAAAAGGAGCAATTTAATCACATATTATTCTGACGACCTGGTCCCATCCTCAACAGACTGAGAAACAAATGTACCCAACTATTAGAACTGAGACAATTCCGCACCTTCAGTTTTCCTTGGTGGAGGGTACTATGGCGGGAAATTCATTTTACAGTCTCTATGGCAACTGTCAAGTCATTATGTACAGAGTGGAATGTAATGAGTTATCTCATTGTAAGGTGAATATGATGGCAAAATAGATTGTAACATTCATTATTGAAAATTACACAATACTTTGGGTTAGTATTTCCACTTCATAAGCTATTAAAGTGAGTGAGTGAGTGAGTGAGTATGGTTTTATGTGGCTTGTAGCAGCATCCAGCAATATCACAGCAGGGATACTAGAAATGGGCTTCACACATTGTACCCATGTGTGGAATCAAACCTGGATCTTCAGCGTGACGAGGCTTCCCCACTGCCCCAAGCTACTAAAGACAAACGCTACCACTAAATATCATCAACTAATAGGTCCCGGACAATCGCCATTTTGGGTTCTGTGGGTTAGGTGTGACGCCGCTTTGAACATTTCAGTTATATCACAGCAGGTCAGTTGGATGTTTGAGTGAGTGAGTATTGTTTTACCTCGCTTTTAGCAATATCAAGCAATATCAAGCTGGGGAACAACAGAAATGGGTTTCACACATTATGCCCATATGGGGAATCAAACCCAGGCCTTCAGTGTGATGAGCGAATGCTTTAATCACTAGGCTACCCCACCAGTCACATTTACAGAAGAAACCAGCAAAGCTGCAAGAAGCCATAGACATCAACAGATTCCAAACAGCAATCAGCCTTAACCAAGGAACATATGCACCTAGCGCTTATGATTCATTGCTTTTATTATCTGTGCCACTATCAATTTAGCGGGCTTCCATGTCATCACTATCACCATAAATGCTATTTCCAACCCCCTCAAATGCTATTTCCAACCCCGAGAATTAATCAATGCCTTCCCCTTACTCCTGTCCATTACCAATCAGTGCTCAGTACTATTTTTCCCTGGCTATACTCCTGGCTTCAATTAATCCACACCATTTAGAGCAAATTATTGGCTTCCCTTGGTAAGTGTCCAACTGTTTAATCATGTCTCTTTTGTTTGTTTCACATATACATAGCTGGCTGTTTTCTAGTTTTTCACTCAGCTGATGAGGGAGTAAGACAATACTCCGAAACATTGTGTTCCTCATATTACAGGGCTGGGGTTGACCTTCTAGGGACTAATTAAAACCTTTTACACAAACACTATCATAATTAGATGTACACCATGGATAAAGTCCTAAATTTGTTTTTAGTTTAGAAAATTATACCTGTTTTCTATCACAACAGTTTACTTACGATATTACCGATAACACAATTTTCATATCGATTATCTTTAATAATCTTTCCTATCGATGACATTTCCGATAATCGATCGTTTTAGCCAGCCCTACTGACTTCCATAGAGTTCCTCTTTATGTGTCACTTCTAAATGCCATTGAAAGACTTCAACCTGGTGCAACAGTGACCCTTCACCCTTACGAGTGATTTGTTTCAGTGCTGAAGAGAAGGTCTACACATGACACCAAAAGCAGGAATTTCCATTTTTCAACAGAAACATCCATTGTTGAATCAAACTCGGAAAGCGTGACGAAGAACTGGAACCTGCATCCTCTTGAAGAAGCTCCATCACCAGGCGGAGTTGTTCTGTTATTCACAATTTAGCTCTTGCAACAGTAGACATAGCTGCTCACACTTGAGTAGGGCTTAGTGGGGCTTCAACAGAAAACACATGGATTCCATTCTGTGAGTCTGCGATCATAAGAGCCTGTCCATTCCGACTTGATTCAACCATTGCGATGGTTCTTGGGTCTTGACAACCTTCAAGTGGTACCACATTTCGGCACTCACCTGTTTGTCCACTCAGGATGTGGATTTTTCGGGTCTTGTGATCCAGAATGATCACATTCCCATACTTATCTTTTGTCATTGCATTTGGTTCTTTCAGCCCCTCGCCTTCTACCCCATGGTAGGACTTGATCACGGTGCCATTCGTCCCAACCATCACCACTGCCTTCTTTGTCCAGTCACAGATGACCAGCTTGCCGTCACTCAAAGCCTGTACTGACCGCGGGTACTGACACTGAACGTCGACGTATGAGAGGACGGTTCCGAAGCTGTTGATGACGTCAACTCTTGGGTTGCCATGAGGTCGACACACTCCGGCGACATATGTATTATTTCGTAAGCTTGAGATTGAGGAATAGGGCCTGGTTTGTACAGTTTCACTAATGTAGTATCTGTTGTTGTCAGTGTCATCTGCTACATATACCAGAAAGGACTGGTTCGGACAGGTTACAACCAGTTGCCTGATGGAATGTGCATAGGTTATATCCCAAGGATCCATGTTCCCGAACGTGAGAGCATTGACGATCCGCCCTTTGATATTGATCACTTTAATGCAGTTGTTGAATCTATCTGCCACAGCACACAGGTTCCTCGACATGGCAGTAATACCAACGAGCCCGCCCCGCCTCTCAACATACGTCATGTTTCCGAAGAAAGACAGTGACCGCCACAGACTCACATCGTAATCTTCAGTTGTTCGAGATTGAAGATCTCTTGATGGAGAAGTGGAACTTGAGAGTTCTCTGGAAGGGGAGATGTAATGGGATGACCGTTGTGGTTGATTTTGGTGTTGAAGACGATGTCTGCTAGACGAATAAGATTCCCCAGGGCGAGGACTGAGGGATGCTGAAGAGAAGCCCTGGAGGCAATATGGCCGTTCTTCAGGTGGTGGTGGTGGGGCTGAAGGCATTACTGGAGCTGCTGCTTGAAGCCTTTCCTCCGCTGGTTCTTCAGGTGTCTCTTGCTCTGCTTCTGCCTCCTGGGGAGCCCGGAACACCTCCTCCTCTGTGTCCTCAACTATTTTTATATCAACATTCTCGACTCCTAATCTGACCTCTCCTATCTTGACTCCTGCCATTATCTCCTCCACCTCATTAACAAGAGGAACAAAATCAACAGGAGTCTTCTCACTGGACAACTGAAGGGTCTCCACAGCGGTGGTGTAGCTGGCTATCTGCTCTTCTATGTTGTACAATGCTGTGAGGGCATTTATAGAGGAGGTGCTCATGAGCTTGTCAAAAAGGTCCACTGTATCATGGAAGGACTTTATCAATGAGGAACATTCGTCCACCTTGTCAGAGATACCATTTTTCTCCTTCTCTATAATATCCGCCAGTTGTTCAGCTACGTCCTTTTCCTTCTGTATGAGACACTTGACAAGCTTACTCTTCAAGTCTGAAAAATGTTCTGATATCTTTAAAGCAAGTTCTTCTTTCTGTAAGCGGAGTTCCCTCGGTTTCGAGAGTTCAAATTTTTCTCTTGCTCTTTCCACATCGTCTTTGAAGGTCTCCATTTTTGCTTTAAAATCCTTCAACTTCAAGGCTGTGACGTCTGCAGCATCTTCTGTGTTCAGGTGATGATTCCCACAATCCTTGTGTTCCTCAAAACAACACTGACCGCACACACCCACACGTTTCAGAGTACAGTAAGCATCACACTTATTGACAGAGTGTTTGGTACACTTCTCAGATGTTGTGTTCAGAGTCTTCTGTATATTGTGAACAGTGGATTTTGAATTTCGCGTATTCAGCGTCTCCATCAACCCCAGAATGAAGAAATTGTCCGGGAAAGCATCTGCCCATTCTTTTAATCTGCTTCCATCCGGATTGGCTGGTTTGGTGACTCTTCGACACACAGGGCATGTAAAGGTCAGCGTTCGACCACGTGGGACGTTGTTGGCGATGTGGTCCCCAAACACTTTCTGCAGAAACTGTGAAGGCATGGCAGCTGCTTTGGCTCAGCCAGATCCATCCTGGCTCTTGCTGTATGGATCAAGGCTTAACATACTCATCAAGTCTGGTCAGGTCACATCTCATCCGATGAAGTCTGACTATCAGATCTCATCATCAAGTCAGACCAGATCCATCCTGGCGACAGGTACACTTCAGCTGAAAGAAAACACAGAAAGTGAGTGAGATGAAATTTAACATCACATCATCAAGTCTGACCATCAGACTATGTTGGTCGCCTCTTACGACAAGCAGGGTTTTCGTTTGTTTTGTTGTTTGTTTTTTAACGCTGCAACTCAGCAATATTCCAGTTATATGGCGGCGGTGTGTAAATCTGGGCCACACAATCCAGTGATCAACAACATGAGCATCAATTTACTCAAATGGGATACAATGACATGTGTCAACCAAGTCAGTAAGCCTGATCCCATGAGTCGCCTCTTACGACAAGCATTGGTTGCTGAAGACCTATTCTTCAACAGATCTTTCACAGAGCCCTCAGTGTATATGACAGCACACAACACGCTTTAACCACTATCCATTCCTCATCAAGCAATACTGGGGCTCCAGCTAGAGTGGGTAGCCTAGTGGTTAAAGCCGTATTCTATTACAGTCATATCAAGACATGGCTGCCTAATGTGTGAGAAAACCATACTCACTCACTCACAGCAATACTGACTGACTGAGTTTGGTTTTACGCTGCTTTTAGCAATATTCCAGCAACATCGTTAAGTAAGCCTCTTACGGGGGACACCAGAAATGGGCTTCACAAGTAAACATTGTGCCCATGTGGGGATTTGAACTGCGTTCAGGTCTTTAGCGTGTACGCCAATCAAGTCTGGACCAGACAACACAGTGATTGAAACGCTTTAACCATTAGGCTACCCCTGTCCTTGTCTCAATCATCATTTCCCTCATGGACATAAATGAAACATGGAGGTCATTCACGCCCTCGAGTATCGAGAGTTCTGAATGAATCAGTTCTCATGAAGAAAGTAAATAAAGAAAAGGAATGGTTAACGAAGTATGGACATGAAAAGGCAGATTCCACTAAAGCTAGGACACCTGAGCTTAATGTTCTGCACAATCAGCACAAACTCCCAACATGATATTTCAGATTTTAAGAAAGAAAAGAATAACATATATTATCATGATTATCTAAGTGTGAGACACGTGCTTTTCACAGATATTTGCCCAGACAATAAAAAGATTTACAAACCTGCATATAAAGATATAATTTCAAATGTTCTAGGATACTTGTAATATTAGCTTGGTTTTTTTTTCACAGTAGCTACAAGGCAAAAAGGTATTTGTAGGAAAGTGCCAACTGGGTCAAATATGAAACTGAGGGTTTTACATTTCCAGGAAGAATTATTAAAATTTTGTATGAGTACGTATGCCACTAATATGGCTATGTCCCCTGCTGCTAAAGAAGAACGAAATATTTACATATTTACTACTGTTCATATTTTTGTCAGATAAAAGATTGGTGTCTCTATAATCACCCAATGTAGGCTGTCAACATAATTGAAGCCATTGGGTACAACAGTTCATGATATATCGTGTTAACAAGAGTTTAAAAAGTGGTCAAAGTGGCATGGTGACCTTGAAGATAAGGTCAAGGTCACCCAAATTGACTGGTGTCTACGTAATCATCCAGTGTAGGCTGTCACCAAATTTGAAGACATTTGGTACAACAGTTCATGAAATATTGCGTTAACAACAGTTTGAAAAGTGTGACTGTGACTATATATGGTCAAGGTCACCAAAATCGACTGGTGTCTGCGTAATCCCCTAATGTAGGCTGTCACCAAATTTGAAGACAGTGGGGACAATAGTTGATGAGATATCATGTTAACAAGAGTTTGAAAAGTAGTCAAAGAAGTGGGGTGACCTTGAAAATAAGGTCAAGGTTACCCAAATTGACTGGTGTCTGCGTAACCCTCCAATGTAGGCTGCCACCAAATTTGAAGACATTGGGTACAATAGTTCATGAAATATTGTGTTAACAAAAGTTGGAAAAGTGGTCAAAGTGTCGTGGTGACCTTGAAAATAAGGTCACGGTCACCGAAATCGACTGGTGTCTGCGTAATCACCCAACAAAGGCTGTAACCAAATTTGAAGACATTGAGTACAACAGTTCGTGAGATATCGTGTTAACAAGAATCGGGACGTAAGTACGGACGGACGGACGCTGCTGAATACATAGTCCCCCGTTTCGCGTTGCAGCGGGGGACAATTATCAAATTCAATCGTTTTCATTAATCTAAAGGAATAGTTTTGACTCTTAAACTCATACCACACAAAACATGAAAATGAAAACATTTTTCTATTATCCTTAAAAGAATTAATACCTTCCTACACAAACAATATTTTTTGTGCAGCCTTCTGGGTGGTGGGTAGCCAACTGGTTGAAGCGTTCGCTCATCACACAGAGGACCCGGATTCATGGGTACAATGTGTGAAGCCCATTTCTGGTGTCCCCTGACATGTAAGTGCTGGAATATTGCTAAAAGCGGGGTAAAACCGAACTCAGTCACTAAAGTTATCTTCCTGTGGCATGTTGTCACTAGTCTATATCAAAGCCTGGTGGCTCCGTAACTGGTGAGTTGACTCTCTTGATTCAGGAAGATGGTGTTAAGTGTCGTGTGGGAAACTGAATCACTTTTTAATATTTCCAGAGCTATTCTCGGAAAACATTTCTTCCTGGTTGAGCAAATAGATACCGCCATGTTGCTAATGCTAACCTTTATCCTGACAGGTTTTAACCTTCTGGAAAAACAAGAATTCCTCGTATGAGTTTTTCAAAAATCTCTAACTTCAATTGGTTTGACATTCTCTTCCCACAGAGGTTACTCCTGTCATATCTTCCTACGTAACCTCTGTTCTAATACGGCCCTTTCATGGTGTGAGCGTTCAAGACTCGTGATTGGAGGCAATCAGATTTAGTTGTGCAATCAGCGACGTTGTTTCAAAAGTGATCATTCGCAAGGTCTCGGTAATTTCCGTATGCTTCGAGAAAACTAAACCTCTTCCCCTGCGCGATGCGCAAACGTTTCTTTTAGACAGAACTCAGTCATGTTATGGCAGATCAGTGGCGTCTCCATCGCCCTCGTTGACAACGGACAAGCTAGCCATTAAACGTCTTGTGTGTAACATCAACACAAGTCCCCGGCAGATGGGGGAAATTTGCGGCCCAGCTTTTGCTTGTGTTAGTCAAGTTGAATCTAAGTCGATGCAACACGTGTTCTGATTGGATAGAAAGAAGGGAGATCATTCGTGTTGCGATCTTTTGCCTCTAGGGGATTTTACGAGAACCGGGAAATATGGCCGTATTAGAACAGAGGTTCGTAGGAAGATATGACAAGTAACCTCTGTGGGAAGAGAATGTTGGTTTGAACAAGAAACATTATATTTTTGAATGTTTGGATAGAATTAACAAGTTATTTTACTCATATGACAGATGATCAATCTTTGTTATGAAACGACGAACTCAGTAATATTGATGGCGATCTGTAAATAATGTTGTCTGAACAAGGGATTGACATTATGAGCACAATTTTGGAATCTTGACCACCCATCCCCTTAGTCGCTTCATACAATAACCATGGGTTGATGACCATCAATTCAAACCTGAACCTTCATGTTGAGAGAAAATTAATCAGGTGTAATTAAAACAGAAAGTCTGACCTTGCAGTGACCTTAATTTAATGCCACTTTTAGCAAAATATTCTAGCAATATCACAGCGGGGACACCAGAAATGGTCTTCAAACATTGTACCCTTGTGGGAATCGAACCTGGGTCTTCAGCGTGATGAGCAAACACTTTAACCACTAGGCTACCCCACCACCCTAGTACTGACGCAAGAGTTGATAATCAAGTAATAGACTGACATTTAATCCCAAAATAAATTTATGTTTTACTCCAACGCTTTAACCACTAAGCTACCCCATCACCCCTCCCCTGCAAAAAGAAACACTACTGAAACACTGACACATCCCCACCAGCGCCACTTATGGACCATAAATATTGTCAGGTCAGTCACTACAGAACAGTCTGAGTAAGGGTTTAGGCAGCTTTTTGGCACTCTTCCAGCAATATAACCTGAAATGGCCTCTAACATTGTACCAATGTGGAGAATCAAATCCAGGCCTTTAATGCCTGTAACTTGACAATAAAATGTGAAATATATATTTTATCAAACATGTGTATGCTTGTACTAGCCCAGACTGAAGCTGGTTTTATAGTGCTAGCCCACTGAGATAACATGCCGCAGTGAAGCATGAATACCCCACTCAGACACATTATACTGACTCCGAGCCAACCAGTCCTTGTTGTATCTATTAATTAATCAGCGCCAGGCAGGGACCAACAAGTACCATATTTTTACGTCTTTTGGTCTGACGCGGTCGGGGATCGAACCCGCGACCTTCCGCTCTCCAGGTGGACGCTCTAACCACTACACCACAGAGGCAGTATTATACATGAGCACATCATACATGTATATATATATATATATATACAACACTAAAAATAGCAGCTGGTATGGTCACAATGTCCGTACTGCATAAAAGAAAAGGGTGTGAATGACATTAGTTTTACGCCGCTTTTAGCAATATCCCAGCAATATCACAGCAAGGTACATCAGAAATGAGCTTCAGACATTGTACCCATGTGGGAATCGAACCTGGGTTTGCGGCGTGACGAGCAAACACTTTAACCACTATGCTACCCCACCACCCCAGTACTGACGCAAGAGTTGATAATCAAGTAATAGACAGACATTTAATCCCAAAATAAATTTATGTTTTTTTCCATATGTCGGCCATTTGTATTAAAAATAATCAAAACTTGGACAAGACATTCCAGTTATTGAAATCATGGAAAGCGATTTACTCAATTGGGACATGATGACATGCATCAACCAAGACAGCGAGCCTGACCACCTGATTCTGTTCGTCACCTCTTGCTAGCATGGGTTGCTGAGGCCCAAAATAAATAAATGTTGTGGTTCCGATTTCCTACATTTCAGAA